CTTCTTTCAATCTTGCCAATATGCTAAAACGATCGCCATTTTGGCTTGTCTTATCTTACTTTAACTTCTCCGGAAACTGCCTTACCATATGCTGATGACAGATGGCCTTGTTATTTGCCGACCGTTTAAAAGAGTAATCCGTTTGTTTGGACAAGAGCGACCTTCACACGGATCACCGCAAATAGAGCCCTTCAACATACCCTGACCTTTCACCTTTAGGGTCACGGTCGGCTCACAGAGGTCACCTTTTAGCCATGAAATATCACTCCGCCGGGAGTCAGGGGAGGGGGGGGGCGGGGCATTCAGGAAGGCACGAAGGGATGATAGGTTCTGACACAACTGGAAATTAAATCTATCTAATAGTATTATGATTTAATCTGGGGGCCAGCATGCCCTTTTTCGTAAGGCGTAATCAGGCCTTCTTAGTCTTCGTAATCCGTAGGCAGCCTCCCCAAAAATCAACGTAATTCGTAATAGTACATTAGCCGCAAAGCATGAAGTCGTTATCAGCTCTGAGACTTAATTCGTCATCGGCGACGAAAATTCTGCGTAATTCGTAATCACCACATCCCAATCAAGCCCTCTAGCATGTCTCAGAAAGTCTATCTTTTATCTCGGTAAGACGTTACGTTGTTCTGAGAATTCCCCCTTATACTGGCCAGGATCCAGATAGACCGCCTCCACCCCCTGTTTGATGATGTTCCTGTCTTCGGTAAGGATGAGTCCAAGAAAAACGTCTCCTCCTGCCAAGCAGATCTTCAGGTTTCACTCGGCACGGAACAGTCTTTCTCTGGACCCAGCGACATATAAACTGGGTTCCATCCTGGTTAATTTACGTCCGCTCCCACAGTCGCTCCCACCAACCACATAGTAATTCGTCTCGCGAACCACCCCTGTTCTATGGGTTCGACACAAGCTAATGGAAACTTTCAAAGCTAGGATTTAGGTCCCCAAATACGACTAAAAAAACTAAAGGCTTTGTAAACATACAGTAGAAGAACTTGTCCGAAAGAACGACTTTATAAAAATGCAATGAACCAAAAAAGGAAACCTCTTCCATAGTGCGCCCAAACCATCATGTCATTAATTCATTTTAGAGAAATGGGAAATGAGATGGTTTAATATGCGCATCAGAACAACTTCCACCGTACAAGCTCTGTCACTGACATGATTGATAAGCTTGGCTGGCAATCCCTAGAAAACCGACGGAGGAATGCCAGACTTGATATCTTTAAACAAAATTGCTCACGGACATATCAATATTCAAACAGAACAATATCTCAAACCTGCCCATAAGCGCACCAGAGGAAGTGATGAATATAAATTTCAAGTAATATCTGCCAAAACAGACTGTTTTAGATTTTCTTTTTTTCCACAAACAATAAAAGAGTGGAATAAGCTGCCGGGACAGTTAGTACAAGGCCAGACAGTGGAGGCCTTTAAGGCCGGACTCCTGGCCACGCAGTCAAAGTCCGTCGTAAACCCCCCCCCCAGT